AAAAAAAAAAAAAAAAAAAAAAAGGTCAAAACTTGCCTCCCCACCATTTCAAGTTTTTAATATAGAATGCACTACTATTGTTAAATTTGATGTAGTTGCAAACACAATTGATATGTATTGTTCCAATATATAAATGTATTATTAATGTAATTATTATTATTATTATTATTATTATTATTATTCATGTAATTATTATTAATGTAATTATTATTATTGTAATTATTATTATTGTTATTATTATTGTTATTATTATTATTGTTATTATTATAAGTAGTGGCATTAAAATAACATCTGGAAATGTTAATTATTAGCAGATAATTTATCTACTGTACAATATTTTAATCTAACTGTAACAAGTATTGTATTTCTAGGCCAATGACCCCATCTCGATCAGGTTTTGTTCAGTTTCCCTGGTCCTTTGAGCAAATGCTGAGATGGCCCCTTGTTTGCTCCTGAACAGTAATGTAACTTCGCTCTCTCCACCCAAGGCCTCATTTTGACTCGTCATACACGATTGTAATTGTATATGTGACTCAATATTATTATTATTATTATTATTATTATTATTATTATTAATATTATCATCATCATCATTATTATTATTATTATTATAATTAATTCATCAATCAAAACCGGCAAACTTTGGCATGATAAAAATAAGTCGTGATGATACGGTGTGTAGGCAGTTTCGGATAGAGGGAGACAGCAAAAGTGGAAGCGAAGCGATCTGAATGGGAGTGTGAGGAGAGCGTGTAGGCGGCTGAGTCACACGCGAGGAAGCCCCGGGTGACGCAGCCGCTCCTTGCGTTCCACACGAGCGAGATCCGCGACGGCCCAGGAAATCACCGCTCACCGCCGCTTCCCTTCCCAGGAACTCAGCGGGGAGAAGGCATAACAACACTCCGGTATATCCCCACACAGGACAAGTGTGGATGTTGTCATTGGCCGCGAGGGGTTAATGTCACGAGGAGTTCTGTGTTTACCGACACATTCATCTGCCGCGTACCGGCCATCAAAGTTGTCCTGGAATCTCAGAAACTCGAGTCATATTTATGAAGACTATTTCTCGATCTATTTGAGGACTAAATAATAAAATAATACGCAAACATGCAGTTATTTGTATAAATTTCATTAAAATTATATCGCATGCGTCAAAGTCGTTAAAACTGTTCCGATCCGGTCATTAGCCGCGAGGGGTTAATGTCACGAGGAGTTCTGTGTTTACCGACACATTCATCAGCCGCCTACCGGCTATCAAAGTTGTCCTGGAATCTCAGAAACTCGAGTCATATTTATGAAGACTATTTCTCGACCATTTAAGAACTGAATAATATGCAACAATGCAGTTATTTCTATAAATTTCATTAAAATTATATCTCATGCATCAGATTCGTCGAAGCTGTTCCAATCCGGTTATTGGAGTTTTGTTTAGCAGTAAAGCACATCCACTATTTGATTAATCAATATCGTAACAACATTAGATTGCTACGCCCGTCCAGTTAAAAGAGGATGTAATAAGGTAAAAACAAGAAAGCAACAGGGATAATTTTCCAGAACCTAAAGCTCTGGATTGTGGTTAGCATACTTCAGAGTGAAGCACATTTGAAGGCTATCCCGGCCATTCCAGATGTCGGAATTCAAACACGATCTCCTCTACTATTTAATAATCTTCTAAACATGAGGATAAAATAACAAATAGGATAAATAGTTCATGCGTAATCTTTCCTTAGTCAATAATATTTAACATGTTTCCTATGCGTTAATGTACAGAAATGGTGATGTAATGGTTCGTCAAAACCAATGACTGGGAACGAAAAATCTGAATTCCCATGCATTTACCCGAGTTGAAGCAATAACGGAAAATTTCAGTAGGCAGATGAAGAGATAGTTGTGGGAAGAAGATGAATCAAAACTGAAATAAAGGACGAATGAAGTAACTAGGGAATATTGAAAATCATCCTTCTGAAAGCAAAGGTAGCCGTAACGTAAGTAGTGTTTGTTACGTTAACATACACCTATGAATGAACCTAAGAACGCACGTTCCTCTATTATTTCATCCTCTTATTATTGCAAAAAATCAAGGAATCCAGACCGAGAGAGATGGCTCAGGACTACTGATGTCATTGCAGTCCCTCTGACCAGGACGTCCCAGGTTCGAGTCCCGATGGTGACAGAATTTGTGACAGTAGCTTGTCGGCTAAGTCGAATTCAGCCCCTGTCTGGAGGAAAATTCTAGCGGCCAGCTGCTCTGATCAGTAGTTTTCCTTGGTTTCTCCGATCAACACCAGGCGAATGCCCGAGCAGTACCCTAACGAGCTATGGACGCCGCGCGATCTTTCCTACCTCTTCCTTCCTATCACACACAGTAACATGCATTGCACTACCACACATGCCGGGAGACTGATCGGGAGCTTAGAGCTTGCCCCGGCTGGGCCCCAACGGGCGGGGCATCGCTGGTGGGAGATACCTGGTTGGAGAAAACCCCGCCAGCGACGGTAGGTCGGCATCGGATCTCGTCATACAGCGGGGAAAGACCACCGCCATCTCCGGAGCAAAAACATGCACGAAACGTACGAGAATAACGACCCTAGTAGTTAACCCACCCATAATCATTAACTGTTAATCAATGGAAATCCTGTGTCATATTACCAATACAAGAATTTTTTTTAATTTTCGTACCCCCTTGCATAATTAATAGTTATTTTACAGAACGGAAACAGAATAATTTTTAAGAGTATGATTTTGGTGCATTTATACATGTACCCGAAATACCATGTCTGTTCTATTTTGTTAGTTTTTAAATTTTATATCTGTAAAAAATTGATTATACATACGTTATCTTTCTTACTTCATCGCTGTCTGTGCATATAGCTAATGTACAGCACGTGTTATTTCCTCCAGCCGTGCAGAAGAAACAACTTTCTCTTTTATTTCAGAATAATCGTAAAGTGTATTCAGGTTACTACATACATTTTTAGAGAGCGGATAAACATTTCGTAAACAAATTTATTTTCGGACTAAATGTAAACACGATACATTTGTGTAATTGAAGTTGTTGCTGTTTTTAAACAAATGTTACAATGTTAGCTTAAGTTATCACGTGGTCTCAGAAGTACATATCTAGTCGGCTAGCACTCCTATAATTCAAAGTATTTTATTTTTTCATTTAACACCAAAAACAGTTAAAACTGATAGTGGAGTGCTATGGGGAGCAGTGTGTTTTGTGCACGTTTTCTGAAATTCTCGGATCCTTACGCTAACCCACATTCAATTTGAATTATGAATACAAATGGAAATGACCATTTTTGGCAAGAATTGATAAGAAACATTCACCCAAGTGTAATAAAAACTATATGCAAGAGCAGATACACTATAGATTTTAGCTATGGACCCTCTTTGTGGCTTTCATGAAGGAATCATGGAGGGTTTCCTGTCATGAGAACGTCGAGAACGACAATTTCAATAACCAAATTACCCGCAGAACCCAAAAACACGTGCACCGATAGTAAAGTTACATATATGTTCAGAAGCAAAACAAGGGGCTATCTCACCGTGCCTCAGCTAGCTCGAAGGATCAAGGAAACTCGACGAAAACCCTGACCGAGATGGTCATTGTCCCAGAAGCTGAGGTACAATACTTGTTACATGTTTGTTAGAATTATACAGTCCAATTGGTCATTAATACATTCAAAACCATTGTTAAAATTAATATTATTTTCGTTTTTAAAGCTCGGTGTGGTGTCTAATTGTATAGAAACAGTTATGCAGCAGAAACGATTTTATTTAGCACTTAAACTTGTTTCTCGAATTTAATCGGTAAACGTTATCTGGCATTGTGTTGTAAGATAATGAACATGTATTAAATGTGATTTTTTTGTAGTGGTAATATTAATACTGAAGCCTGATGAATACGATTACTACGTCGAGTGTTATTGTTATAATTAGGGAGCAGGAGCCTCTGTTTCTGGACTCATGAAAGGACGCGGTTAACGTCAAAACGCGAAGGGCTTATTGGTTGTAGGCCCGTGTTATCGGTATCGATTTTCCCCACTCTAAAGTAAACCATTTTTGACAAAAACTACTAACTACTAATTCTTAAATCACGAGGCAAGGAAATGGCAGAATTCCTAGCTTAATAAAGAGATGCTTAAAAGAATCACGTAAAATCAGCTACACAGGGAACAGCAGTCAGTTTTAAGAATAATGTTTTCCCTTAACCAAAAACAATCATTCATCTTCCTCACATTTTGGCACGCATTGTCACTCACCGAAGCAGACACAGTTCTGCTCAGATAATACAAGATGGTGCCGAGTTAAGACCCACGTAATTAGTGCATGATATTTGGGAGCCACTGAAGATAGGATAAAATTCCCAAAACATGTGTATGGCTAAGAGTTTGTTAATACTAAATATATTTTTAAACAAACTTTGTGGTTG